TTTGGTGTGGATGGACTGCTTCAAGGAAACACATGTACAATTAGTTTATACATACTGTATATGCTCAAGGTTTATTGGATAGCCTGGGATTGTGGTCAGAGCACAGGCTTCGAGTGTTCGATTAGGTAATATATTTCAGCAACAAAGATTAGTTGAACACAAAAATATACATACAGTATAGTCTAGTAAACTGACCCTCAGTCCTTATCTGCTTTTTTTTTTTTTTGCTCTCTGGCTCTCACTGTGTTTTGGTTTTTTATTTATTTATTTTTTACATCAGGTACACTGACCGCCTGTCTGCTTACTTTCTCTCTTTATAGAGTTTGTTGCAGATGGAGGAGTAAATTCCTTGGACTTCACTCTAATCTATGTTTTATTCTGTCATTCGCTATAACGAAAAATCTAGCCAATAATTTAAGTGGCAAATGACTAACGACATCATAACAAGCCCGTAGGTTTCATGAAGTTTGAAATCAACAAAACATTTACATGTATATCAAAGGGTTTAATTACCCATCATAAGTAAAGCACAAAGTACCTAAATTTATGCCAAAAACTACATGCGAAATTAATCACAAAGGAGCAAACGAGCGACTGCTAATCGTTCAGGGACGTCCATTTGAATTTTTTTTTGCCTCTGTGGTCTTCCAGCGACCATGTTGCATTATCAACTCATGCGACTCATGTTTATTAGCCAAATGAGAGGCACTCCCAGAACGCAAACTGCGGAGACCATACGCGGACGGATTACTAACACCAATACGCTGAAGAGCTTGGACAAATAATTCCCGACATCTGGTGCAACTCAGTAGTCTGTTAGCACTTCATTTATAACAATTAGAACTCAAATGGAAGGAAAGGATGGAAAACAAAAACACATCTTGACCCATGGCAATATCCGCAGCGGCTAAGAATCGACGGAGGATAGAAACGGGGGAATATGCGTCTAAGGTGTCGTAAAGACAACCAGTGTTGCCTTCCTGAATACATCCGTTTTAGACTTGGGGATGAACACCGAAATGCCTTTGTTGTCATCGAGATATGAAAGGTGACTGACTTTAAGTGCGTTATGGCGAAATAACAATGCGTACTTAAGGCAGACGTAGAAGGCCGTGCGCAAGTCCAAAAGAGAACCACCGGGTGCAGCGAACTTATTAATGATAGCTTTAACTTGAACCAGACTCAATGGCTGCTTTTGTACAGGGGGATGGTGCAGTGCCCGACGGCCACTAACAATAACGTGTTAAACCACAGGGGAATCAACAGGGTTGTGCTTTACCAAGGAGTGCAACCATTTGAGCGAGGCGGCAGTAGTCGTAAGAACACTGTCAGAATTAGACTGCTGTTTAACGTGGTAAAGGTAAGCGGCCAACACCCCACCAGAAAATGGCAGACATGAAGAAAGACCACGTGACTCCGTCCAGGAAAGAAACTGTCGGCATTTGTAAAAATAAGAGGTGACTGTGCCGTCGGATTTGGCAAACATAGCATCACGAAGAATTTGTTCCCGCAATTCTTGAAACCGGTCGGGGAAGGTTAGCCAGAAGGGATGACTAGCAGCTACCACGCCGTCAAAATCAGGGGAGCGTAGAAGGGAGTTCTCATTCCGACCGTGCTGTAGGGCAACAACAGCAGAATCAGTTATGAACTGTTTCATCCAGTGTTTGTACGAACACAACTTCAACACCGGCCAAAAGGGATGCGATGACCATCATGGGAGCACAAGGACTCCACTACATTGGTATAACTGCATATGTTTAAGGGCGGATGGTATCAACGCGACAGGAGGGACAACACGGGCATTTTCAGTAGACCAGTCCTGTGCAAATGCATCTACTGCAAGCGAGTTGGGATTCCAGAAACGAGAATAAAAACGGGGCAACTTAGTGTTATAGAAGTTGGCAAAACAATCCACCGTAAAAGGACCCCACAAATTATTCAGTCGAGAGAAAAATTCACCAGAAAGAGACCAATAGTCTAGATCGATCAATCTACTAATGAAATCAGCTTGCTCGTTTGGAGATCTGGGAATCCAGTCGACTTTGATTCGGATAGAATTACGGAGACAAATTCGAAAAATGTCAAACGCAATATCATGTAATTCCGGCTTCATACTAACGCAATCAATGATTTTAGTAGCGCTCTGACTATCGGTGAACAACTTCAGATTAGAAGATGAGATTATCGGGAGAAATTATAAGAGAGCAGATTGGATAGTTGCAAGCTCACGCCACGTGGAACTTTGGGATGATTCTTAGGGAGTCCAAAATTTATGAACAATGTGTTTATCCTTACAAACCACAGCCCCTGCGCCATTGGAACTAGCATCAGAACAAACTACCTTATTGAAAACTTGGTGACCAAACACAAAACGAACATTCAACTGGCTGACGTTGTCCTCCTAAAATCGGACCCCAGAAGAACAAGGACAATTAAGAGTCAAGTTATCAGACTCATCGGCCGCCTGTGAAATTACCATTTGGCAATGGCCTATTACAGGGATTCCAATTGCTTTTGGACATGTTGTAAACGAAGCCTGCTTTTAGTAAGTCTGAACGAACATGGGTAGAAATAGAAGAGGCAACTGAGGTGTGCATAGAGGCATCCTCTGGACAAGGAATGGACACGAACCCATCGTCCAAATAACAGCAACCGAAATTTCGCACGCTCTCCAGTGTTTCACTAAAGGCTTCAGTAATTTTGTAAATATGCATGGAGCTGTTGTGAGACCAAATGGTAGAATATTGAATTCGAAATACCGAGTGACACCATTAATACGCCAAGAAAAACCTAAATGGCACTGGGAAAATGGAGAAATGTCAATATGATGATAACCCGATTTTAAATCAAAAGAAAACATGAAAGCATTGGGAGACATACTGAAGACCGATCTTCCAGTCATCAATTTTGAAGTGCTTTTTAGGAGTATATACATTCAAGGCGTTGAGGTAAAAAAAATTAACGTTTTTTATTAGCCGAGGAGACAGCAACTGAGAGCGGACAAGTTACAGAGGACGGGCACGATTTCTCACAAATGCGAAACGAGGCGAGTAATTCGAGAACACTTTCAGAAACAAAATCAGCCTCACGCAATGCGGACTTGTCATTTCGAAAAAAAAAAACATCGGGGGCGGGTCAACGGTGAACGGAATGATAAACCCATCCTGGATAATAGAAAGTACCAAATTGGAAGCATCTATTTCACGCCAAAGCTGAACATGTTGTTTCAGTCTCCCTTTAACCGGTAATTCATCGGACTGTAACGGCTCGAATATTGGATCGTTTAGGCAAACAGGTACCTTGAGAACATCGGGAAAATTATCACAGATAGATACCCTACGTTGACTTAGTGTCTGATCCTGGAGACGGAGTGGCCTTCGTGAAGGGATGACAGACTGGGGAGTAGGCGTACCCCGATGGAGCGAGGAGAGTTGATTGGGCAGCTGGTGAGTGCCAGTGGGAGGGGCATCTATGACCGTAGGAACAGAGTGTGGGGCTGGCTCTTGGACGAGATTGGAAACGGTTGGACGGCTTGAATCCGGCCTAGTGGCCATACATGCCACAGGTGTGACATTGGTCAGCAACAGGCAAGCCTGAAAAAAAATTAAAAGTATAAATCGGAAACAAAAGAGAACAGACATGTGGCGGGGGGGGTGGGATAAACCATATCTGAGAAAACTTTTTGACGTGAAAAAATAACGGATCAGGGAAAACAGTCAACGAATCGACCACACTCGGTAGGTGACCTAAAGGGCATGTATTGGTTTAGAGGAACAATTTATAGTGAAATGCCAGTCAGGACTCAGGAAGAACAAAGAAAGAGAATAATAAGAATGCATGGTATGTCCAAGGTATGGCAGGCCAAACAAAAACTAAATTTCTAAAACCTGCTCAAGTACACTTCCATGAATGGTCAGTGGTGCATGTTCATTTCCTTTATTTTCCCTAAAGTCCATAATCATTTCTTTTCATGACATTCAACTGCAAGAATGTGTGTCGCACCATTCTACCAACTTATCAACGACTGAAAAGTAACGTTCTGCATTTGTTTCCTCCAACAGATAACCTGAAATCACTGTGTCGTCAGCATATTTAATAATTGAACATTGGTCGTCTGTGCTAACACATTCACTAGTATATAATGAAAACAGGACGGGTGACAGAACGCATCCCTGTGTGACACCAATTCTAATTATACGAACATCTGAGAAGGTATTACACACTTTCGCCCTTTGTGGCCTATGCAAGAGAAAATCCTGGATCACGATCAGTTTTTGTGGGTGTACATTTATGTTCACCAATTTCTGAACCAGTAAAAGTGGAACTAGTGTGTTGAATGCGCTAGAGAAATCAATGAGTGTTGATCTTACGTAGGTTTTAACGTTGTCTAAGTGTGAAAGAGCCCTGTGCGAGTACAAGACGGCGTCCTCAACTCCCGCTTTCTCGATACACAAACTGCATGGGATCTTAGTGCATACTAGATTGTTCCAACAGACGATTCAACAAAATCTTCTCAAAACATTTCATTACGCTTGAAGTCAGAGCCACTGGTCTAAAACCATTCAATTCACCAGGATTTTTCACTTTTTGGATAGGAACAACCCATGAAGTTTCCCCTAATTTCAGGATCAGGCCACTGTCCGAGTAACTGTTCAAACAGCTGTCAGAACACTCCAGCTAATTGTCCCCTTGCCGCGCGTTAAATGTTCGTAGTGATTGTCATGCTGACCTCGAGAATGCGAGCTTTACACCATGCGAAAAGAGTTCTAAGGGCTATCAGTTCGAGGGGGTGTGGACAGACTAGCTGACATATGTACAATACATGTACTACCATCACCATAGGCTCCACGTACGTCAGCCCGTTTTGTGGGCTGGACCACTGGACCGAAGATCGTATAGCGCCGCGGCGCTATACGATCTTTGGGTGGACCATGATACCACTTGTGTGACGTCACACAGAAGATGGACCTCTTGTGATACTGGTGCCCTCATCATGGACCGCTGCCTGCACGTACGTACATGTACATTGTACTAGTATTTATGTACGTGTACTGTACTAAATACTGGATGGGGTAGATGAACTACTCAAAGTCTCACGTGCGTACGCGCGCGTGCGTGGTTCTTAAAAGATAAGGTGTTCCGACATCTCAAACAGTAGACGAACGGATACGGTGTTGATAACTTTTGGCCGTAAAACTACTGAACGCAGAACTAGGCCTACACCCAAGTTCATGTAAGTACATTTTGTAATAAAGAAAGACTAGACGTCGTGCTGTTGCATGCCATGCCGTACTTAACTAAAATGAGTGCGGCAATAGCAAGGCAGGCAGTTGAAAACGCCGAACGTAGTGTCGTGCACTGACAGCGCAGCTTAGGCCTACCCGGCCCCGTCGAGCTCAGTGACTAGTCACGTACGTACGTACACATGTACATGTATGTTCGCCCACTGCACTGCATATCAAGGGGCGGTGCATGCATGACATGGGTAGCCATAATCCGGTCCTCTCCTGCGACTACGGCTTCCAATTGTGATCTATAGATGCGGCGGTGGATAGCCGTAGCCAGTGGTCGATACTTGTGCATGCTGTAGTTACAAGGAGATGCCGCACCGCGTGTTGCCAACATTGAGAGCAACATAAACCGTTGAAAATTTTTCTTGTTTAGGTTTTCTTGGAGATATACCCACATATACATTTGCAATGGACGTTAGTAATGACACACATGATAAAGCAAAAAGTTGAAGAGTTTTTAAAACTGATATTGAGCCATTTTATGCAACATCGTCATTAGAAGCCAGTATCGATCTTTGACATCATAAACTGANTTTTTATCGACACCGCTAAACCCTAACTAAATTCTACACTCATATGAAGCCAGATATGAGGCAGAGAGACCCCCCAGCTTTGTGTTGGTCATTGTTTCATTGGAATCTGAGGAATTCTTTTCAGACATCTAAGGGCCAATTGGACATGTTGGGGTTATCCCTCGGTTTCATTTCTTGTTGGATATGTATACACTATTCAAATATCAACTGGAGTTTCGGTTACACAATAAATTGCTGCGATAGAATAAAATCACAGCAAACCAGATTTTCAAGTTCGTAAGTCTGGCATAAAAAACTTTTCTAAGCTAATGAATCATCAGAATCAGAATGCCTTTAATTCAACACTGACTTGCCTGGCTTCATACATGTAACTGTGTGTTTCACATTCTTGTGAAAACCCCAGTTGCAAGAATGATTGATTTGTTTTACAGGAAGAGAGGAAATAAACAAATTTTCACTGATTGAAAAAGGCTACTGCATATTTGATTACATGAGATCATTGACTAACAAATAATCCATCAGATGTCAAGTTTCCATTACAAAAGCTCGTTAGCGATCCAGTGTATATGACCCTGAACAATAAGCAAAACTAAGTGTACTCTGGAGGCGAGCATCGGTCTCAATAGTCTTAATCCTCTGACACTAAACAAGAGAGGGTGGGCACATGCTAATGGTCTTGCATTCAGCTTACTATGGTTACAGAGATACGGGGTAATCTGATCAATACAAGAAGAACGCCAGGCTGGCCCTGGCTGAATTTCTTAATCCATGAACTAGTGTTAATATGTGCTGTTACCCTGTACATGTATCCAGTTTTTACAAATTCAAACAGCGGTGAAAACTTGATTTTTAGTGTGGAGTAAATGTAGAACGGGTACATCAATAATGGATGTGATGTCAGTTCGGGGTTTTAACTTTTAGCAAAGGGGTAAATTTACCATTCGTGCTGTGGAATAATGTTCATGCAGAAGTTCCCAAGTTTTCAACCTGGGAATTATTGTTTAATGATAGTCTCATTGGTCAACAAGAACACAACACAGATTCAGTAGACTTCACGTACTGGTTTTAATCACTGTTTTTCATTTCGCTTTTTCATCATTGTTTGTTTCCATTCCAGTGACCAATCACAGCTCAGCTTTCATTTGGATGGGGTCAGGAAAACAAAAGGAAAAGATAGGAGCTGTGTTGTGATCGGTCAAGCTGTCACACAGCTGACAGTTATGGAAAATACGTGCTGCAGATGTTCTGCAGTGCGACTTTGGAATTTTCCTTGTTAAATTTCACTTTTTAGGACACATTGCTTTCCCACGGCCGTTGACAGGGAAAATTGGTGTTGTCCGTAATCCTACATGCATATGTAACTCTTTCCCAAAGCAGTTCATCTTGGGCACTGTGCATCCGTTGGGTGTTAAAAACAGCATTTCCCACAATGCAACTAGTTGACAATATCATGAATATGGTAATTGCTGTTGTTTCCTCTTTCAGGAACTTGATTTGCCTACATGCAGTGCCAACGTTCAAGTACATCATGTTAAAAGTAGAGGACTTTGAGAAGTATGCCATGGACAATCTGCCAGGCAGCGTCTTTGACCACGTCCATGATGGCTCTGATGATCAGGACACCCTGAAGGACAACTGCAGGGCTTTTAAGAGGTATGTATCAAATTGTTTTTTTTTGGGGGGGAGGATTTTCACTGTTTGTTTTCAATCAAGTGAATGTTCATATTGTGCTTAGATTTCTCTTGTGCTTCTTCCATCTGGAAAACTACGTAGTTTTAGTTAGATACCCCC